CCCCCCCCAACCCCGGCCCTGCTGAGCCCCAGCTGCCCCGGCAGCCCGTCCTTGTTTCAGGGCTACAGAAGAGGCTGGAGGGGCGGCTGTGGGGGCCAGAATCCTTCCGTATGGCTCGGGGGGAGCAGGCGGTGGAGGCGGTGAACCTGCGGGCACCACCGGACCGCATCAAGATGAGCAGCCAGGAGTTTTGGGACGGCTTCACCGCCAGCGCGGGTAAGCATGCAGTGAGTTTGTGGGGTCTCAAGTGCGATTTCGGGGCGGGGGGGTGAGCCAGCCCGAGCATCCCTCCCTCCCCAGGTGGTGCCCGGCGGCATGACGCCCGCATCCCCATGTGCGATGGCATGCTCCCTCCCGCAGCATCCCCGGAACCGGAGCAGGGCGGTGGGGACCTGCTGAAGCTGGAGAGTGGCTTTGGCGACATGGAGGTGTGCCGGTAGGTGACAGCAGAAGCTTCACCAGGGTGGGTTCCCCCCTCCCTGGCAGCCCGGTACCCCCTCCTCTTGCCCGGTTGGGTGCCAGCCCCCCACAGCCGCGGGATGCATCCCGATGTGGGATGCAGCGAGCAGGGCTGGGGGCACCGAGGTGGCTTTGCCAGCACCGGTAGCCGGTGCCCCGGCCTCAAACACCGCGCCTGTGCCGCAGGGCCACCAACCTGAGTGCCAGCCTGCCGCTGCCGGAGTACTGCGGGCCCACCGGCCACCTCAACCTGGCTGCCTACCTGCGGGGCCAGCGAGGCCGGCGCTGGTTGCGCCCGCGTGTCTGCGTGGCTTATGGTGAGTGCCACCCGGCAGGACTGTGGTGCCCGGGGTGGGGGAGTGAGCTGGGCTCCCCCCACCCATGACGGTGCTCGCCTTTCGCCCACCGCCCCGCTCCCGCTTCCAGGCGTGCATCCCCAGGACCGGACGATTGGGACCAAAAACCTGACGGTGGAGGCGACCGACTCCATCAGCGTCCTGGTGCACACCGCGGCGTGGCTGCCCAAGCGGCCGACGGCACAGCAGGGTAAGGTGGGAGCATGGAGGGGGTGCCCCCACCCCAGCCCCCCACTCTGACACCCCCTGAGCAACCCTTTACCCACAGACCTGCTCCTGCAAGCCGACGACGATGGCGTGGATGCACTGCTGAAGGAGCGGCTCTGGGATGCCGGCAGCCGGCCCGGTGCCCTGTGGCACATCTTCCGTGCCGAGGATGCTGGCCGCATCCAGGATTTCTTGAAGAAGGTGGGTGCCATCACCCCCCCAGAGCAGCCCCAGCCCCCCCCCGACCCCTGGCTCTGCTCACCCCCGGCCCTCCACAGACGTGCAAGGACCAAGGGCAGGAGGGGGTGGCCACGGCGGAGCCCCCCACCCGCTACCTGGACCTCTCGCTGCGGAGGCGGCTGCGCGAGGATTGCGGGGTGAGCTGTTGGACCCTCTTCCAGTTCCTGGGGGACGCGGTGCTGGTCCCTGCTGGGGCTCCCCACCAGGTAGGCAGCTCTGTAACCCCCCCCCACCCCAGCTCTTTGGGGTGCAGCTGTGCCAAAGCCCCCTGGGGAAACTGAGGCACGGCTGAGCCCCGGCCCCTGATGCCACCGTGCCACGGGCAGGTGCAGACCCTCACCGCTACCATCAGCGTGGAGCAGCGGTTCCTTTCGCCGGAGAATGCCACCCGCCTCTGGGACCACAGCATCGATCCCCCTGGGGCTACGCCCCAGCTTCATGCCCAGGTGAGTGGGTGGCGATCTGGAGGCTGTAGAGGGGGTCCCGGTTTGGGGTGCCCGGTGCTGACCCCCCCTCTTTCCACGCTTGCAGTTGGACGGCATGATCTTCGCCGCCGTGCGGGAGGCCGTGGGAATCCTGCAGGGCTGCAAGTGAGGCGGCCGCGGCACACTGGGAGGATGCTCGAACAAAGCCAGTGCTGCCGGCCACGGCCACGGCTGAGATGCCGCGGGGAGCCGGAGCCGGGCACCTCTCGCTTGGTGCTTTGCTCCACGATCACCCGGGGAGGCTCGGGGTGGGAGCCGGGCAGCCGGGGAATAAAGCGTCTGCAGCGTGCCGGGGCTGCCGGCACCACCAGCACTTGCCTCGGCATCTCCCTCCTGTGCGGCATCAGCCCCCCTTCACCCCCCACCCGTGGTCAGGGATGTTCGGGTGGGGTGGGAAAGCCGGGGTCTGGCAGTGTGCCCTGATGGCACGGGGTGCTCCCAGCCCTTGGTGACTGGCTGAGGGCCACTGGTGAGATGAGTTTGGCGCGGTCTCTGTGCTGGCAGCCTCAGAGAGAACCGGAAAACATCTGGACGTCGCGTCTCGTCGCTGTCGAGAGGTTCGGGGTTCCAGGGTACAGCTCCGTCCTGCCCTGCCCTGGGAAAGCAACCGGCCCAAAGCCCCGTCCCAAGGACAGAAACAACCCCATCCATGGAGCACGGTGCTCCGAGTGCCGGGGTGCAGGGGAATCGCTCTGCACCGCGCAGGACCATGGCCTGGAGCTGCCCTCATGATAATGGGGGAAAATGGGCTGCCCATCCCCACAGACGGTGCACAAGGCCTCAGTCCTTGCACGCTGCGCCCTGTGCCAGCCGTACCGTGCAATACGCACCCTGCACTGCACAGGGCCACATGCACTGCGGGAGATGTGCAATTAACCCCGTGTAATTAACACCGTGCAATTAACACCGTGCAATTTGCACCGTGCAATTAACACCGTGCAATGGGGACCGTGCGATTAACACCGTGCAACGGGCAACGGGCACCGTGCAATCGCCACCGTGCAACCGGCACCGCGCAATTAATTATCACCGCCCAACTAACGCCGCCAGCACAGGGCGCGCCACGCACTTTTCCACGCCCCTCCCGGCCCCTTTAAGCCCAAACCCCGCCTCCCCAATCCTGCGGGGAAGTTGGCGGCAGGACTAACCAATGGAAAGCGAGCTGGCCTGGCGGGGTGACCAATGGACGGCGAGCGAGGTGGGCGGGGACGGCGCGGCGGAGGCCCGGGGACGCGGTGAGTGCCGTGGCGCATGCGCGCAGGCAGGCGGGGCGGGCG